CCCGAGAACCGCGAAAGGCAGGGGCCCGAGGAAGAAGAGGAGAAGGAAGACGGGTACCAGGTCGTCCCGTAGGAGGGAGGAGGCCCTTCGCAAGAAAGGCGAGAGACCCCATCCATCCAACGAGACGATCAAAACGGTAGCGCCCCAAAAGGCAACAGAGAAGGCAGTAGCCCCACCTCCGCTAGCACCTGCGGAGCAGGCAGAACAGATGAGGGAAGAAATATCGGCTGTACCTCCCCCACCGAACCCTCCGGAAACGCAAATGGAGGTCGCTGAGGATGAAAGAGACAGGAGAGAAGTAAAAGCTGCAACATGCTCCTTCTTCCAGGAGGCGGGGTAGGACGAGTGGGCAGCTGAATAATATGCTTACTCACCTGCGTACTCGCCCACCCCGTTACCCATGAGTTGTGCCTGGCAGTCGGAGCCAAGACAGGTTCCCTTCTGGAACACTCATGGGTAGGAGGGCAGCAGCACCATGACGGGATGTGCCTGGTAGTCGAGGCCGTGAAGGCCACCTGCAGGGACACCCGTCGTGAGTAGGAAATGCAGCCCCAACGGAAGCAGAAGGTGGGCCGACCCCCTTAGGGGGAACACCCCCTCCTGCATTACAGTAGGGATAGCCCTAATCCGGGGAGGAGTTCCGTGGATGATTGTGGGATTGACACGGAAATCCTCACCAGGGCGGGAAGGCAGGCCCCCTTCTGGGGCCGGTTAGGTAGGGACCCCCCATCTGTTCCTCACAGATGGGAGGTATAAGGGGGGGCCCTGGCCCGGGGTCCCCCTCCATACCTTAACCCCGTGGGTGCCACCTTGTCGTGGTGGGGGGACTTGAAGGTCTCAATGATGTACAGAGCTGTACCGGCGGGGGTTTCGGCCCCTGGCAAGTTCTACCATGCCGGAGTGGTCTGTACGGAGGGACTGGACCAAGAGCACCCGAGCGAGCTGGTCGATCAGCCTGGTCTATGACCAGACTGGTCATGAAGCGAGTGGGAGCAGATTATCACCCCTGGAGACATTGCACGCCGGTGTTCCGGCAGCCGAAAGGGGTGACCTCCTCAGCACTTGCTTTGGGAAGGGGACCCCTCTCTCTGAGGCATTGCACGCTGGTGCTCCGGCAGCCAAAGAGAGAGGATTCTTTCCTTACCCGCCCTGATCCGTCCGTTATGGACGGATCGGAGATGGAGGAACGTAACCGCACCCAGGGCTCCACCCCATGGGGATCCTCCCCCCACGGTGCCTGGGATGCGGAGGGGTACTCCGGGCCGCTCGGACGTTTCCGACATCGCGACCAGGGTGTCCTACCACGTCCTGAGAAATCCCACCACTGAAGGCATTGCACGCTGGTGCTCCGGCAGCCAACAGAGGGAGGACCTCTCTCCCTCATCCGTCCCAGCCACGGCTGGGCGGATGGAGGACCCCACACCCGGGTCTGCACACCATGGGGAATTACCCCCATGGTACCCGGGGGGTGGAGGGGTGCCTCGGGCCGCTCTGATTTATTCCGAGGTCGGGGTCGAGACACCCTAGGACGAAGAGGGGAAGGAGCCCCATCTTCGGAGGCATTGCACGCCGGTGCTCCGGCAGCCAAAGAAGGTGGGCCTCCCCGCTTTCCCTTATCCGTTCAGCCTCAGCTGGGCGGAAAGAGGAACCCACACCCGGGTCTGTACACCATAGGGACTTGCCCTCATGGTACCCGGGGGTGGAGGGGTGTCTCGAGCCGCTCGGACGTTTCCCGAGGTCTGGGTCGAGGCACCCTTGAGCGCCATCATAGAGGACCCCACCCCCGAAGGCATTGCACGCCGGTGCTCCGGCAGCCGAAGGAAGAGGACCTCTCCCTCATCCGTCCTGGTCACAGCCGGGCGGAGGGAGGAACTCACACCCGGGTCTGCACACCATGAGGGTTTGAAACCCCTCATGGTACCCGGGGGTGGAGGGGTGTTCCGGGTCGCTCAGACGTATTCCGAGGCAGGGCCGAAACCCCTATGTGCTATGCCCGAGGGAATGCGATCGCATCGCCCTAAAGCGGGCCCTCGGGCGGCGTGAGCATTCTGGCTGCCATGGGGAGGCGCTCCCGGTAGGGTGCGACACCGGTGAGCTACCTCTTTCCATGGGGCCCGCGCGTGGCGGCGCTCCGTACGGTGCCCGTATTGGAGGTACGGGACTCCCGAAATCGGTCTGGCCACCAGAAATGGTGGTCAGGGCGCGTGTAGGGGGCGAGAGACTTGTGCCGGCGATGATCATTCCGCCGGCCCGCGTCATATGTTGCTCCTCTGGGGGAACTTGGAGACTCTCCCTTCCGGGGAGATGCGGGCATGCCCGGGCAACGGAGCCATACGGAGTTGTGGGTTCAAAACCAAATATGAACGATAATGACAAAAGGACTACTCTTAAGGAAAATGAAGAAAAAGGAAACCGGACGGATAACAAGGTAACGGACTTGGCAATAGACACGGAATTGACAGAACTGCGAATCCCCCCTGGTTCTAAGGAAGAAGAGGTGGTAGAGTCGATCACCATAAGATGTTCCAGCAGGCGTAATGTAGCTAGCAGGGGAGGACGCCGCAGTAACTCGCTGGATACACTGGAGGAGAGACCACAAAGAAAGGTACGATCTGAGGAACTCCGAAGAGACCGATCTAGGTCAAGGACATCACTGAGGAAGGAGGCGTCGATCTCTCCAAACTCTTCGTCGCCGGAAAGGCCCTCAACGATGACCAATGAGGGAAAAACCAAGGAGGGACCAGGACAGAAACGGGACATACTGGTCGACTCAGATGGCGAAATAGATGTGGAGCGAGTCAAAGAAAAGACTCTGAGACCCCGTAGTAGACCAACCACCACGAGGAAATATGCAAAGGGAAAGAAACTTCTAGCCCCGAAAGAGGTTGCTAAGGAGCAGGAAAGAGAGGATAACCTGCTTAAGAGTATATAAAACCCTAGGGAAACACTCAAAGACCTGAGTCTAAATAGAATATTCAGGGAAGAACTTAGGGTTCAGAAAGAAAACCTAGGGGATACCCTGACTAAGGACCTCACAGCCGCAATGCTGGATGCTGCTAAGAGGGTGCTAGGAATAGCGGTAAGATGTAAAAATCTAAAAGGAACGTATATGAAGGTCCTGAGGGAGGCAGCGGCTGTTATGAAAGCGGGTGCCACCCTAGCAGGGAAAAGAATGGTGACAGGACAGGGGGAGTACGGTGAAATCCTCGAAGAAATGAGAGGAGAAAACCAGAGGCTGAGGAACTCCCAGGAGGAAATGAGAAAGGAGATCTAGGCGCTTAAAAAGGTGTTGGAAGAGAAAAAGGAGATAAACTCAACAACGGTACCTCCTACAATTTATGTAAGCGACGAGGAGGTGAGAAAGGCAAGGAAAATATGGAGAAAGGTCATACCACCGGCGGAAAGCAGTGAAGAGGAGGACATGCAGACAGGATGTGATAACATGCAGGTGGGGGCTATTGAAATACAAAAGAATGAAGTAAAGATTAGCCCGGAGCAGCTCCACCCAGTTACCCGGGAAGAAAGAGGACCAGGTCCGAGGGTTGTGGCGAATGTCCCTCTTACTACAAGGATCAGGATTGAGGAAGAAAATGTACAGGAAACCCTGGAGGAAAGGGTGGTAAAGTTGGTTTTCCAGGCCATGGATGGATGGCGCCAGAAAAATGAACCTGAACCAACCAATACAGAACCCGGCAGCGAAGAGCCCCTTCCTCAAAGGCAGGTGAGGGAGAAGAAGAAGGGAAGAAAGCTCGTGACTGACAATAAGCAGAAGAGCAAAGAGCAACCGATACAAAAGCAACCACATCAACAATCCCTCCCTGTGAATGGAAAAGAAACTCAAACAAACAGCACGCAGAAGAGTAGTCCGCAACAGGGGGAAAGCTGGGCCAAAGTGGTGGGGAGGAGGGGAAAAAGAAGCTGAAGGAGGAGAAGAAAAAAGTCACCGAACTCCAGCAGAAAACGGGGCAGGAAAGAAAGGATAGTAATGCGAAGGCCCAGGAAAAAAGGAAGGCAAAAAGGAAAGTGCTTCGAACAGCAGCTGTGATGATTACAGCGCAGAAGGATAAATATAAGGAAATCCTGAAGGAGGCAAAAGCTAAAATTAACATCAATGAACTAGGGATTGAGAAGCTTAACACCAGGCAGGGAATCACTGGTTCCCTAGTACTGGAAATCCCTGGGGAAAAGAGAAAGGAGCAGGAAGATGCATTAGCAGATAAGTTAAGAGACCAGCTAAAGAACATGGAAAAAATCAACCGCCCCCAAAAGATGGGGGAGTTGCGGTTAAGAGGTATGGAGATCGCAACCGAGGAAGAGGATGCAGGAGAGGTTGTAGCCAAAGAAGGCGAGTGTGATCTAAGAGAAGTGAGAACAGGGAAAATAAGGGTTATACCCAGCGGAACGGTGACACTTTGGTTTCAATGTCCACTATCAGCGGCAAAAAGGTTGCTGAAAAAGGGAAAATCATAATAGGATGGTCACATGTAAGGGCAGAGCTGCTGGAAGCGAAGCCCCTGCAATGTTACAGGTGCATCGAAAGGGGCCATGTCCAGCAGCTCTGCACCAATGAAACGGATCGCAGTGGTAACTGCTACAGTTGCGGAGAAGAAGGGCACAAGGCCCGGGAGTGTAGTATCCGAGCCAAGTGCCAAATTTGTGCGGCGGCAAATATGCCGGCAGGGCACAGGATGGGGGAGGCCGGCTTGTCATCCCCCCAAACAAAAGAAGAAGGTGCAGGGAGTCGCGGGTAGAAAACAACCTACCAACAGTGAAATTCCAATCTCTGCCCCTGCCGTGGAAAAGGAGAAAGAGAAGGAGAAGACTCCTCCCCCCACTTCATCCACTGCCACCGCCCTCCTCTCTAACGCACGAGGAGAGGGGGAGGACATGGACGTGGTGAGAAGGGGGGAAAAGAGGATGCGTCCTAGAGATGATAGCAACAGTGACAGTGAGGGAAGAGAGGAGCCGGGTGAAAAGATCAAGGTAACAGAAGAACTATAATGGCCACCCGGCTCCTCCAAGCCAACCTGCACCGCGCCCGCCAAGCTGTGGCTCTATTTGAGCACACGATGGCGGAGCGCGGTGTAGGGTTAGGAATAGCGGCGGAGTTCAACCATGTCCCCAAGAACCATCCTAGATGGTTTGGGGACGATCTGGGCTTCGTCGCTATAACATGGAGGGCAAATGAACATTCCCCTCCCGGATGAGTAAGGGGAGAGGGTTCGTCGTGGCCAGGTGAGGGGCCCTAATAGTGGTCAGGGTCTACCTCCCCCCAACAAAGAGCCTGGACATACCGAGCTTCAGGTTCAGGCTCCAAAAAATCGGGAGGGCCGTCAGACAGTACCTCCCGGGGCCTGTCATCATCGCCGGGGATTTCAATGCTAAATCGCAATTATGGAATTCCCGGGTTGGTGACAGGCGGGGGGAGGAGGTGGAAGAATGGGCTGCAGACCTAAGCCTGCACATACTAAACGAGGGTGATAAACCCACCTTCGTCGGGTCGCAGGGGGAATCAATAATTGATCTTACATGGGCGACCCCTGCGGCCCGGGGAAGGGTGCAGGTCTGGAGGGTGGCGGAGGAGCTGGAGTCCCTTTCGGACCATCAAATAATTGAAATAAAGCTCTCCGTCACCCCCAACGGGCTGCGGCCCAGGGTGAGAAGAGATTCCCGACCAGCCAGATGGGCCCTGAGCCAGTTGGACAAGGAGAAACTGGATATCTCCTTTGAGGCTTTCACCTGGCCACGATGGAAGGAGGGGCAGGATCTCAATTCTGCAGTGGCAGAAACAATGAGTCTGATCGCACGTGCCTGTGATCAAGCCATGCCAAAAGTGAGGTCCTGCCCCATGAGGTCCGCCTGGTGGTGGAACGACCGGATCGCGGAACTAAGGCGTCGGTCGGTCCGCCTCAGGCGGATCTTCAGGAGAGCCCGCGAGGACGAGAAACCCCCTGAGGTGACCCTGGTCGCCCGAACGGAGTTCTGCATGGCCGCGCGTGCCTTACGCAAGGCTATAGGGGCGGCCAGGAGAGAAGGGTGGGACAATCTCCTCCGATCGTTAGATGCGGATCCGTGGGGGCGTCCATACAAAGTAGTTATGAAGAAACTAAGACCATGGACGCCCCCGCTAACGGAAACGCTGGACCCCCGGTTTCTCGAACGGGTCATGGGGACCCTGTTTCCAGTTGGGAATGGGACTCCCCCCCTTGACCCGTACAAACCTCTAGAACATCAGAGGGAGATCCCGGGGTAACAGAAGAGGAGATGGTCGGGGCCATCAGAGGAATCAAGAGTATAAAAGCTCCCGGACCTGATGATATTTCCGGCCGAGTCCTTACCCTCGTCTCGGGGCACCTCGCGGGCAGGCTGGCCAAAATTTTTGATATAACCCTCAAAGAGGGAAAATTCCCCCCAGTCTGAGGGAGGGCAAATATTATCCTCCTCCGAAAAGAGGGCAAACCGGAGGACTCCCCCTCCGCGTATCGCCCCATATGTCTCTTGGATGAGGCGGGAAAGGTTTTCGAGCGAGTTATCGCCGCCCGCCTCACGGAGCATATGACCCGGATAGGACCGAGCCTTGATGACAGCCAGTACGGCTTTCGAGAAGGCAGATCGACGATAGACGCGATAACGCGTCTAAAGGCCCTCTCGGGAGCCATAGTGCAGGAGGTCAGGGTGGCGGTAGCGGTTTCGTTAGATATAGCGAACGCATTTAACACCCTGCCCTGGGGTAGGGTGGTGGAAGCAATGGAGGAGCACTTCCATTTCCCGCCCTACCTCACGGCTGTCATCAAGGATTATTTCCGGGGTCGGCGTCTGGTCTGGATGGAAGCCGATGGCAGGATACGCGAGAGGGGGATGAGTTGCAGGGTTCCACGAGGGTCCGTTTTGGGCCCACTCCTGTGGAACCTTGGGTATGACAAAGTCCTCCGGGTAGCCCTCCCTCCGGCTGCAGTATCATCTGCTATGCAGATGATACCCTCATACTAGCCGGGGGGGAAGACTGGAGAGAAGCAGTGAGGACTGCGAATTTTGCGGTGGCAAGCGCCGTGCGCGCCATTCAGGAGCTGGGCCTGACGGTGGCGGAAAGGAAGACAGGCGATATTCCTCCACAAGAGGAGAACGAAGCCGCCTCAGGCCCAGCTCCGGATGGGAAGGGTCAGGGTTCCGATAGAGGCCCAAATAAAATATTTGGGCCTCGTTCTGGACGGCACCTGGTGCTTCAAAGAGCACTTTAGCCGCCTGGCCCCCCGATTAAAAATGGTTTCGGCTAATCTGAGCAAGATTATGCCTAACATCGGGGGGCCAAACATGAAGGCGCGTCGCCTCCACGCGGGCATCGTCAGCTCGGTCGCCTTATATGGGGCGCCCATTTGGGCGGAGGCCCTAGCCGTCAGCCGTCCCCTGCAGGCGATACTGCGTAGGGCACACAGGACGGTGGCGATCAGGGTCATCAGAGCGTATAGAACGGTGTCCCACGTGACGGCAACGGCCCTGGCCGGCATGTCTCCACTGGAGCTCCTCGCGTTAATGTACTGGTCGATGTACATGAGGAAGGGGGAGCTCCGGGAGAATTTAGAGGCAGGCGAATCGCTCGCCAGGGCAATAAAGCGGCTGAGGCACCAGGCTCGACAGCTCCTTCCCCAGAGATGGCAGAGGCGTCTGCAGGACGCCTGATACGGGAGAAGGAGTGTCGAGGCCGCCCAGCCCTGTCCACCCGAGTGGGTGGACAGGGAGTTCGGAACCCTGACATACAGAATGACACAAGTACTCACCGGACACGGTTGTTTCGGTGAGTACCTGTGTAGAATATGAAAAGAGCGCACGGCGCAATGCCACCATTGTGAGAGTGGTCACGACTCCGCGCAGCACACACTGCAGGACTGCCCTGCGTGGGTAGAGGAGTGTAGAATCGTGGCCAATGAGTTGGGTCCTGACCTCTCGCTCCCCAGGGTAATCAGTGACATACTGGGGAGCGAGAGAAAATGAGACGTCTTTGCCTCCTTCTGCGAGAGCATAATCTCGCAGAAGGAGACAGCGGAGGAAATCCATCGGCAGGCGGAGGGAAGGAGGGCGGCGGCAGGGACGGCGGCGCCTTCAAAGAGAACGCCGCTCTCCCAGCCGTGAGGAGGATATAGACTCCTCTGAGGAGGAGGCAATAAAGAACATGGTGAGACCAAACCCCCACCACTTCCTACTCCACTACCACCTCATCCACTATCCCCCACCACACCTTCCTATTCATCCTAGCCCATCCCATCCACAATCACAACCATTATCCCAAGGAAGGATCCTCCCACCGAGACGCGTGATGCCCCCTCGTAGGGTAAAACGCGGGCGAGGGGGGACATCTATGCAGAGGGCGGAAGTAAGTGCTGAGGCACAGAATACGTCGGGAGACCGAGACCGAGGGGTCGACCAGCAGCCCCCTGATCGCCCACCGACCCCCAGAACGGGGGTTGGATGAAGGTGAGGGGGAAGAGTGAGATGATGAAATCATCGAAAAATCACCTCCCTCCCTTGCCTCCCAAGACCCACATAAGTGGGTAGGAGGGGAGAGGCCTCGACCTCCCCCAGCCTCTTTGGAGGTGGGAACGCCTGGTGGTAAGGGGATCAATCATTCCCCCCGTAGCCGCTGGGCGGGAGGGTGTGGTTCCGGGCGGGGACTCCCGGAACCCCAGTCAGCCCTCCAATGTAGGGCGACTGGTTAAGATGGTGGATCAACCAGTCGCACAACATCATCTAGGCGGCGCCCCGCCTGGCTGGGAACGGTGGTAGAAGCGCAGGTCTAGGGCCGGCTTCCCCCTTCCCAGCCGTAGAGGCGGGGCGTGAGGGGTACAAGGGGAAGCGGTGGTCGAAGCAGAGCCTGGGCTCGCTTCGCCCCTTCCCTGAGGGAGCGGTAGTATAAGACGAGCTTAGGCTCGCGCTTCCTCCCTCCCTCAGCACCCCTCGGGGAAGATGACGGCTAGCCGTCTGGACTCGGGACCTCGATCGCAGTTACATGGCTCCGGGGCCCCGAGTACAGTCCCTTCGCAGCGCCACCCGGGGAGGTTTTAGCCGGTAGGAGTCCTGCATAATCCTTCACCCTTCCCCGAGGGTGAGGGGTATCCATGATGAATTTCTTCCTCGTCACACAAAAAAAAATTATAAAATATATCGGGCCACTGCAGATCCTCTCCACTGGCAAAAACTGAGAATTTCGATCTTACATATGTATCTCGGAGGCCTTAAAAGCCCGTATAAACTTTGTCCGATCCAAAAATCTTCGATATTTTATAGGTTTTATACATTTGATAAATTTGCACGTCCACCATTTTGAATAGAGGGCCTAATTTAAAAATCGGGCTCGATATGATTGTAGAGCAATTCATCGCGAGTAAATTAAAAAAAAGCATGGAAATCGGTTAAGAATTACGTCGTCTAGCGATTTTTGTCCACGAAAAGACCCATTTGACCCACTGTGCGGCGCCTCACCCGGCTGGGAAAGGTGGTTGAAGCGGGCCATTTGGCTTCCCCCTTCCCAGCCACATGGGCGGGGCGCGAGGGATAGAGAGGGAGCAGTGGTTGAAGAGGAGCCTCGGCTCGCTTCCCCCCTCTCCATTCCTCGGAGAAACGACGGTTTAGGACTCAGGGCCCCGATCGCAGTTACATGGCTCCGAGGCCCTGAGGAAGTTCCTTCGCAGCGCCACCCGGGGAGGTTTTAGCCGGTAGGAATCCGGCATAACCCCCTTCCCCGAGGGTGGGGGGTATCCATGATGGATTTCCTCCTCGTCACAAAAAAAGTCTCTCGTATTTGATATTGAAATTCTGTTCGGCTGGGTTTGTTAAAATAGCCATTACCGCACAGTGCGTCTGAAAAATAAACACAAATAGTTTTGATAATAAAACAGACAATAGAGAAACAGTATTTGTCAAAAATTAAAATGTCTTTAATTAAATGTTTTTACCATAAACCGCTATGATAATCCTGGAATTGTACAAGGCCCTTTGAGTATCTTCGCGACCCCACTAGGTGACCGATGATGTTAGCGAGTCCTTTATTGCTTCTTTGAAGCACAAATTGACCGCTTATTTCAATGTAAATCCGCCGATATGATTGAAATAACTTACCTACAAACAGAAAGTATCGAGTGAATTAAGTATAAAACAGTCCGAAACATACATACTATATATGTATATGGAAATCGGGAAAGCGTAAAAACCGGGAAGAAATAGAGCAGCGCGGCTTCTACTCTTAATTCTCTTTATTCCTTTTCGGGAGACGGTATGCCCCGAATCTCAGCGGGACGGTACAATTTTTCCCCACGCGCGTACTCGCGAGATCGGTACCGCTCTTGGCAACAAAACTCACTTTTCGACGAGACACGCAAACGGAACACCGAAAAACAATAAGCAGGTGGACGGTCTTATAAACTCGAGAACCTCCCGGCGGCGTGATCTGGGCTGGTTGTCGGACGGTTCGCTCTCCTCTCGGACGCAGATCCTGGCAGCCGGCTCATGCTCGATAATCCGATGGTGGCGGGTTCGGCACAAGGTCGGAGTACAAACCTATTTCCTCGGGAACGAGAGGGTCACCCAAAACTTGTCCTTTTCGAGAGCGGGACACCAAAATCTCTCCGTCAAGAGCAGAACACAAAAGAAAAGAAATCTTTTCTCCGGAGAGCGACCACGAATTTTTATCTCGTGAGAGCGACCAACGACTTCTCTCTCTCTCTCTCTCGGGAGCGACAAAACGGAACAACCCTCCTTTTCTGTTTTTGACAAACGAATCTAATCCGCCTTTTAACGCGACGAAAACTGATCTCACTCTTCTTTGCGCACGAAAAACAGAATCTCCTTTCTTCTCCCAAAAACCGAATCTCTCCTTTCCTTTTTCTTTGCCTCTCCTGGCCGGGGGGGTTCCTCTCTCCCTCCGGTCCTTTTTCCGTCGACAGGTCGGGAATCCGTCCGCAAATCGGTATTGTTGATCCGCGGAACGGGTGCTCTCTCTCTCTCTCTCTCTCTCTCTCTCTTTCTCTCTCTCTCTCTCTTCTCTTCTGTCGCTTTGTCCCGCTCTTTTTCTTAGGTCTGTCTCGCCACTGTTTTTTTAGACGAGCGGGCCACGCGGCGTGGTCGTGGTCGGCGGGATTACGCCTCGCTCTTTCCGTCCCCTTCCGTGTTGTCATCGTTATTTGCCTAACAACAAACACGGCAGCGATAATTTCTTTCGGGACGACATATAATTTCTTAATAGGAATCGAGAATATAGAGCAATCATCTGATTGTGCCATGCCTGACGATGAACGACGTCCGTTGAATCCTTCCTGCTCTTCCGGTCCTGCTGGTCGGCTTGGGAGGTCCAGGAGCACAAAATTGAAGGACGCGAGACCGTCTCACCTGCGCGCTCTTAACGCTAATTGATTTCGCTCAAGTTAATATGATTTTCCGGGAAGTCGTCTCGAATTCCCCTTTGACCACGCGATGCTTGTCACCCCCTCCCTCGCGTCGTGATCGCGTTTTCGCCTACTAGTGACGGGTGCCCAGCGGCTGCCACGTCACAAGTTTTAATAAAGATATGATCATATACATAAAATATAATGGTCATATGTCTATTATAATGAAAGACAGATATCTATTGGGTCTGGGAAAAAGTTCGTGGCGTTTTTTTAGTAAAATTCAACTAGTTTTCTTATAGTATGAAAATTAATTTATTTAAACCAAATATTCTCCATTATTATCGACAATGTTTCGCCATTTTTCGGGTAGAGCCATGATGCCATCGGTGAAGAACTTCTGTGGTTTCTAGTTGAAAAACTGAATCAAGTGGTTTTCACAGGCTTCTTTTGAAACCAGCTTAATTCCATTGAGAAAGTTCTGCAGAGATCGGAACAAGTGATAGTCAGAGGGTGCTTTATCTAGACTATACGGTGGACACATCAAAACTTCCGGGAGCGTCCCAGATGCGCACAGAATAACACGGACACAGCAGGTTAAATGAAACAGACACAGTGACAAACGGACACAGTAACAAACGGACACAGTAACAAACAGACACAGTAGGAAACGGACACACTGTGGTTGCAATCGGACACAGTGAGAAACCGACACAGTAAGAAACGGACACAGTGACAATCGGACACAGTAACAAACGGACACAGTAGGAAACGGACACACGGTGGTTGCAATTGGACACAATGAGAAACGGACATAGTAAGAAACGGACACAGTGAGAATCGGACACAGAAAAATGGACACAACATGAAACGGACACACTGTGGTTGCAATCAGAGACAGTAAGAAACGGACATAATGACAATCGGACACAGTAACAAACGGACACAATAGAAAACGGACACAGTAGGAAACGGACACAATAGGAAACGGGGTGCGAAAAAAGTGAAGAAAAAGTAAAATCTGATCGTACGTGCATTATTTATGTGTATTATTGCTGAATCGACTCATCTTTTCATACTGTGCAGTCACTTCTGACTTGTGCAGATTATTCTAGTTAAATCATGCAAGATAGTGATGATGTTAAAACTTGTTCAATTTGCAAAGCACAAATTTCATCGGTGTACAAAATATATATGCCATAAACATGTCTTACTTTTATTTGAAGTGTATAAAAATATTTAGAATTTTCAGGATCTTTTTAATACATATTCTTTATGACGTTTATCGCACACATATTCTAAGAC